CTTCGTTCAAGCTATCCAATACCCTCCCGCAACGTGGCTAGCGCTTCTCTTTCACCTTCGCCGTAGCTGGTGCAGTTGGCAAATATGGTGCCCATGCTCAGTCCGAGTTTATCAGTACGATGTCCCATGCACTCTGGGCTGTATCCATCATATCATCCATTGCGATGTCGACGTCTGTTTTCTCCAGTACCTATGTGCCGTTCACGTCATCCTCGACATGTTGTAGATGTGTCCAGCCACTTCATGATCTTGTGCTTGCACTTTGGAAACATCCCGGTGGATCCGTCCGCCTTGTAAATAGGACCGTCTATTGCTAGTTTTGTTGCCGTCTTGCAGGGTAGTGAATAGGTACAAGTTGCTATTCATGCCAAGGCGCCGCACCATTCTTTTGCCGATATCCAGTTGGTAGAATTTATCCATGACTCTCCAAGCCGATATTGTTATCAACCAATACTCCTGTGCGCATGGACACATCGACTACTTTTGTGGGAATATCATATTTGCAACCTTATCCTAAACATGCCGCTCCAATATTTGAGTCATGTGGCCACCTTGCGATTTAAGTTTCACCGTCAATCGGCTTGTCTCGTCAATGTTTCTCCAGATACACCGATTACATCGTTTGTCTCCGTTGATGTGAGCGAACTATAATTAGCCGATGTGTATATCTTGAGTGAAGCCCTATCACCATATCTCTTGAATGAACGTAAGCAATTATCTCTTTCTCCTTTGATATGTACGCACATGTACTACTCAGTCAAACAAACTTTGGTCCGGCCGCCAGAGGTGGGTGGAATCAACATGCCATCGGCTATCACTTTCTATAATCCTTTCCGTGTTCATCGACTAAAGTATAGAAGAACTGGCCGATGCTCTATCCAAATCGGTATAGAAACCAATAATTTGTACATGCTAGAGTAGTGTGCCAATGGATGGCTCTGGTCGTATAGGTTCTGTACCCAATGTCTATGTCCGTCTGGCTAACTGACGAGGAAGCATATATGCATGCATACATGCCGATGTGCGCCAGCTGGGGTGACGGCAACACCACGTATCGGCTCATCAGGTATGATGGAGCATCTTGGAGCTCATGGGATGAAGGAGCCCAAACCCCTCCGTGTAATCTTCTTATGAGCGGCGTTCGGTAGGGACCCCATCAGCAGATAGCTTACCAGCTTGGGGGCAGAGTCTTGAACCTCAAGTATAGTAGCCGATCCTCCTTCATGAGCAGTTATTGACCCAAAGTCTTGAAGCCGATAGATGTAAGGGAGCAACCGTCCGAATAGATTACATACATTGGCAATCATCCCGCATACGTGTGTATGGAATCTTTGTAGTATATCTTTGTTTAGCTGATGCAACATTCTTTGGGCGGCAGAGTACAGCGGCGTCAGCTTTTGATCTTCTTGACTTTATCACTTAAAGTGTCAACATGTTGTTGGAAGTTTGTAACGGCACAACAGCAACCTGGCACACGTTGCTAGTAGCACCACACAAATGACGTGCAATCCCCTCCGTGTCAGGACCCTGTCTTCTCCCGTTAGACCGATCGGTTACTTTCTGATAATAAAATAACTCCATCATCCAAATAATCCATTAATCCTCTGTTTTTTTAATCTAATCGCCGATGTTCCTTTTGACGGAATCAACTTTTCGGAGGCAAAGTGAGTATGATTAACGGCATTTTTCCTCTGATATTTTTCGTGCTTGAGGTATTCCAGCATTACATCCTGAATCTTGTTGAGGCTCCCGAACAGCAGTATGTGGCCTTGCAATTTTGTCATCTGGTTTCCTCCGTGGTATTTGACAATGATCTCAGGCTCAAGAAAAATCACGATCTTGGTTCACGTGAATAGATGAAAAACTGCTCACCGCCTTTAATCAGGATTGGTGACTTTTCAGGCGTAATTGAAATTGGCCTTAGAGTATGATATGTTGTTTGTTGATGCCACATGCCGAGGTCTTGATGAATAATGCTTTAATAGATGGCTGAATAAATACCAGCATCGTCCTTTTGTTGTAGATGAAAAATTCAGACTCTCCGTGATTTGGAAGCTAATAGAATATCCATAAAGCATCGACTTCCAATCGAACGATTATTGTCCCACCGAGCGTGCCAAAAAGTGTGTTGACACAAAATGTGACGCACTGTGCCGCACACACAGCAAGCCGAAAAGCGTAGCTTCAATCGGGTGCCCGGGTGCTTCGTGATCCGGACGCGTGCCGGTTTGACCGAAAAAACCGACAAGGGATAAAACGATTAAATGTCAAACCGGAACATGTCGGGTGAGACCGCAGATTCCGTATATACGACCTCGGTTAGCCACTTACAACGACATATGCCTATAGGAAGTCATGCGCCAACAAGTTTATAAATCATTCGGCTAATCGTCGTGGGGCGGACATACGTAAAGATCCGATTGCGAATGCATATGCATGGGAAGACATGTTTGAACAAGTGAAATTGATTATGCGTTAATGCATATCCAAGCTCAAAGAATCCACCCGAGTTGGGGTCCATGAAGAAGGAACGTGTAGATAAACACGATTAAGCCAATCTAAAACTCTGCCCGCCATTGCGACGACACCTAGTTTCATCAAAAACTTAAACGTGATTAACATGCATGAACCCACAACATGTGACAATCTAGATTAAAACAATTCAGCCATTACGAGCATGTTATCTATTTGCAAAGGTATTATGAAAGTAATGATCATTGAAGCTCGAATAAAACCATAGAAGAGGGCGAACAATATCAATCTAGATTGGGCAAAAGTGTGTTACAAATATATAAAATATTTAAAACATGCAACACAGATAACTTGATGAATCTATTTAGATTTTGCCGTAATCTAATAGAGCCGATAACCTGCCTCTTGCTTCCACTAAGCATATTGAGCAAACTTTGCCGCATACGGTATCTACTCATAAACAAAGTATAAGCAAAGACTTCTTGATTGTCAAGCAAAGATCCGCCGCAGACGATCATTGAAAACAAACAAGACTACTTGCATCACGTCTAAATTCACCGCATGATACTAAACATGATAACAAGGTTGTCGGAACTTACGGAGGTCGACGGATCGATGACTCCTCTCAAGAACTCGACGACACGACAAAAGGACTTCGAAAGTTGGCACGGGGCCGGTTGTATTGATTTGGTTGTGAACGCCTATTACAATGGTCGAGGGTCAATATTTATACCCTAGACGTAAAACACGAGTCCTAAAAGACTACGATTTACAAAGGAACTCTTAAACAAACTTGGAAACTACGATTCCTCGCCCCAAACTCTCGAGTCCTTTATTATTACAACTTTCATCTTTTCGATCGGCTTTGCTTGCCATCTTTCGCTTTCCCGAATGGAGTCACCACCTTTCAAGTAACCGACCGCACAAGCATTTAGCCGACCGCTTCGTTTTGTTTGCCGAATGTCCTTCTTCCCACATGCGGACCCACTGTCATCTTCCAAAGTCGACCAAAATCCAAAGTGTTAACACCATGCAAGCAATGTATTTCGAGAGTCCCGTGCAAACACAACTTCCCTTTCCTTGACCAACCCGATCTTGGAAATCTTCTCCACAATGGCTCGGTAACATGTAACGTATATATTTGCTTGGGACGCATCTTTATTGGCTTGCATCTTCACTAATCACTACGTCGGCAACTGTGGATCGATTATTTCCTTCATGCATGGACTCTTTCTTTAATCAAGAAGCTTCACGTCTCCATCCAAAGATATATTTGATTTATTTCTTATGCAGCCCGCCAAACAACTATTAAAATATCCCTTCCTCGTTAATCGATCTTAATCTTGTTGGCATCCATGTCAAGCATAGCTCAGATAGCACTTGGCCTCTCATCCTTTTCCATTTGCCTTGCCGGTTGCCCAATAATGCATCACGATATGTAACAAACAAGATGGTAGGCACATCGAATCGCCAAATTGTTTGACCTTTTGTCGCTCCCCATTAATTTCTCGAGCATGAATGACTCCATCGTATATATCTCATCGGCTTTCGAGTCATGGTCATTATCGGAGATTTTCTTCTTTTTACGTTACCAGCCGCTTTCTTCCCAATTACCAAATTTTGATGTCAACAAACACACTATGCTGTACTCCGTATGTGCTATTGTTTTAGCCAGATCACAGCAGATTTATTACTTAGACCTTGTTTAAATTTAAGATATAAAATTTGAAGGTGTCACATCGGTTGTCACATAAGGGTGTCGTATAGAGTGTTCGATATTAATAAAAAAACAAATTATAGAATCCATCAGTAACCCGCGAGACGAATTTATTAAGCCTAATTAATCCGGCATTAGCACATGTGTTACTGTAGCACCACATTATTAAATCATAGACTAATTAGACTTAAAAGATTCGTCTTGTAAATTAGTCGCAAACTATGCAATTAGTTATTTTTAATCTATATTTAATACTCCATGAATATATCTAAGTATTTGATGAGATAAAAAGCAAACTTTAGAAAAGGAACTAAACGAGGCGTTCTCAGCATGCATGCACTTGCACAAGAGAAATAAAACATGTGGCGCGGTGAAAGCGCTTGGTGGCAGCGTCACGAGATTATCGATCCGTTCGCTAGTTGATTTCTAAACTAATAACCTGGCTGATAATGATTTAGGGCGCATGCAAAAAATTTTAGATTTTGGCTAATGTAGTACTTCGTTTGTATTTGGTGATTAGTGTCTAATTATGGACTAATTAGGTTTAAAAATTTCGTCTCGCGATCTCTCATCCAACTGTGCAATTAGTTTTTTTTCGTCTATATTTAATACTCTATACATGTGCCGCAAGATTCGATATGATGGGTCTGCGCAAATTTTTTTAGGACTAAACAGGCCCTTGGTGTGAGAGGAAATCCTGAAACCAACGAGCCAACGACGAGAAGCGTCCCGACAAGCAAACCGGCCCGGCCCCCAAGTCCCAACGACTCCGGGCCTCCGGCCCCATCACCGAGCCCCACCGCGCTCTGGCTCAGACGCTGCGCGGCGCCGGGGAGGCGGCGCCGTCCCCGCCATGCACGAACCGCCGTAGGACGCGGACCAGCTCGCCCGCCGCCTCGCCGTCCGGCTCGAAGATGGCGAACCCGTGGCCCGCCCCCGGGAACTCGACGAGGTCGACGCGCCTGTTATTGTTCCCCGCGGCGGCCGCCTGCACCCGCGCCACGTACTCCCTGACGCGGTCGATCAGCATGTCGCGGTCCCCGGCCGCCACGAGCATCGCCGGGAGCTCGCCGGGGGCGGGGCCGCCCGGACCGCCCGCTGCCGCCTCCGGCCAGAACGGGTTCGCGGCCGGGTGATCCCTCGTCGCCCCCGCCGGCAGCGCCAGGCGCCACATCTGGTTGTACAGCGGGAGCGTCAGGAACACGTCGCCAGGGCAGGCCGCCTCGGACGCCGTCCGCCGCTCGCCGCCGAAGTAGGGCCACAGCAGCACGCACCCGGCCAGGCGTAGGCGCCGTCCCGACGCGGCGCCGGCGCGGGCGGCGGCGTGGTGCGCCATGTTGGCGCCCGCCGAGTCGCCCGACACGAACACGCGGCCCAGGTCCGCCGCGTCGGCGAGCCACGGATCGGTCTGGCCGCCGAGCCAGGAGAGGAGGGTGTCCGCGTCCTCGACCGCCGCGGGGAGGCGGTGCTCCGGGGCCAGGCGGTAGTCGGCGGAGAGCACGACGGCGGGGAGCTCGGCGGCGAGGCGGAGGCACACGGTGTGGAACTCCGGCGAGGCGAAGCTGCCGATGATGAAGCCGCCGCCGTGGAAGTAGACCAGCACCGGGAGCTTCGTCTCGGCGCCGCCGTCCCCCGCTCCGCCGGCGGACGGCACGTACATGCGCAGGTTGGTGTTTGGCGTGCGGTTATATTGCGCTTCAGCTGGCGACTTTGCTGGACTTACTAGTCCTCACTCCTGACAGTATGTATATGTCTGGCAAATTAGCAGTAACAACATACCATATTATGGCAAATAATAAGGCAACATTTGGATTCACTAGTCGTAGTATACATTTAGCTAGCAAATACTACTAAATATTAGTATTATTAGCTGAGGTTGTTCGGATCCACCGCTGAGCACCACCAATAGAGGTGGACAGGCGGTTGGGTAATTGTTATGAGGTGCAAATGAGCTATGAATATTTAGGCCCTTTTGTATCACCATCTGGATTATTAGAATCTAGATTATGCATTTGATTGTAATAATCTAGATTATATATTACAATAATCTAGGTTATTTTGGGTCCTTCGATTGTAGGTGATGGATTACTGTAAGTCCAACGGCTAAATTCCTATTATACCCATGACTTTGGCGCTCATCCTTGTTGCTGGACGTTGTCCCTGTGTGCGCTTGGCTGCTTAGCGGTGGTAGTTGCCTTGTTTTGGGCATCGTCCTTGTCTGGCTAGCTGCTAGATGCAGGTCCAACTTAGCCTGGATGCGTGGATGTAGGCTCGGGTGTTTGGTTGGCTAGCCCAAGGTGCGCTTGACTGGGGCTCATTCCGTGTCAGCATGTTCGGTAGGCTGGGCTAGTTCGTGAAGAGGTAGTGCTGATTGGTTTATGTGAGAGAAAAATATTGTTTTGGTTAGAAATTTAACGTCTAGCCGAACAGGCTTGGTTCGCTGCAGGCCATCTTTTGTTGCATCCAAAGGTGCATGTGGGTTTGTTTGGTTGTTCGTTTCGGTGAAGCTGCCACGATCGTTTTCTTGGTTGTGCTGAACAGCTGAAGTTACCCTCACCTGCGAGTTCTAAAAATCGACTAAGTTTGGGACAATCATAGCAATTTTTTACGAGTGTCATAAACACATAATCTTAGACATAATAAAATCAACAATTGCAACAATCCAACACCTAGTTAATGACAACAACAATATTTCTACTAGTTAATTGACACACAAATAGTTCTAGCACATATCAAATTACATGCTACTTCAGCATGCATATCAGAACAACAATGACAATGAACTGGACTAGGATCACAAGATTTTTTATTGGCACCCCTGTTGTAGCCATCATCTGTCTAACCTCGTCAATGGCGCCGTAATTCAAATTTCTTTATATAGAAGATTTTAAGCAACGATTGTGTCATCTTCTTTTTCAAATTTCTTTTTTTATATTTATGATCCAAGAAATTACTAGTCCGTCCTTTTGATGTTTCAAGCTGTATTATGTTTCATTAGGACAATCCTTTCGATAAAAAAAATCTTTATATAGAAGATTTTCAATGTGTAATTTATATAATTAGATTAGATTAGATTTTATAAAAAAATACTTAGCTATGTAAGAGTTTGTAACACATAAAAGATAGTATACTTGTAGAGTAATTATGAGTCAAACTGTTGACTAATGGTTACAGGAGATGAGTCCAACAAATGAGCATATTATAAAATATATTTTATAGTAGATGATTAGAACTAACAATTTGTTGGATCATAAATATAGTTTGTTATAAGAAAATTTTTCCTGTAAACCAGTCAAACTTAGAAAAATGATTTAGAACATTATTTTTTTCACGACGGTGATGAGAACAACACTGAACACTGGAAATTGATTATCCAGGCACCGAAAGAGCCCCAAATAAATAGATTTCTAGAGTTGTCTTAAGTCAAACTTTTTAAACTTTAATCGAATTTCTGGAAAAAAACATTAAGATTTATGAAATCAAATTAGTGTCATTGTATTTACCATAAAATATATTTTGTTTCTCTTTTCTATAAAGTTAAACAAATTTAAAAAGGTTTGACTGACACGGTTTGTAGGAATCGATTCTTTGAGGACAGAGGAGCAAAGTTTACAAATTTTGTTGGGCGGCAGACCCTACAAATAGGCCTAAAGTCCGGAAGACAAGTAGCAAGACTCCAGACTCTAGCACCAGCACGCAGGCATCGTTCAGTCATTTTCCGAACCTGAGCTGAAAAATCAGCATTCGCAGCCATTGCAACAGCAACCTCCATCATCATGTCATCTAAACCAACTGTGCAACGAACTGAGATTATTGTTTGCGTTTGATTTGTTTCTTCTGAGAAATCGTACTGTTTCACATGACACATCTTAATTATTTCTGTCAACACGACTCTGACAGTCTATAAGCCAGACAAACTAAGCACCGTGCACGAATCGCCTAATGACCCGGATCAGCTCGTCGGAGGCCTCACCGCAGGGCTCCGTGACGAAGAACCCATGTCCCTGCCCCGCGAACACGACGAGCTCGACGGCCTTCCCGGCCGCCTTGAGCCTGGCGACGTAGTCCACCACGCGCTCGTGCAGCGGGTCCTGGTCGGGATCCACGACGAGCACCGGCGGGAAGGCCGCGCCGAGGTCACTCAGCGGGATGCTCCCCTGCGCGAACGGGTTCGCGAACGGGTGGTCCTTGTTCGCGCCCGCCGGCAGCGCCAGGCGCCACAACTGGTCGAACAGCGCCGGGCCCATGACCTGGTCGGCCGGGCACGCCGCCTCGGACGGCGTCGGCTCCTCGCCGCCGAAGTAGGGCCAGAGCATCACGCACCCGGCGAGGCGGAGCGGGGCGAGGGCGAGCCCCCCTTCGGAGCCGTGGCGCACGGCGACGTGGTGCGAGATGTTGCCGCCGGCCGAGTCGCCGCTGACGAACACCCGGGCGAAGTCGGCCGACTCGGCGAGCCACGGGTCCGCGCCCGCCGCGGCGGCGGACGACGGCGTGGCCTGCGCGCGGAGCCAGGAGAAGACGGACTCGGCGTCGTCCAGCGCCGCGGGGAGGCGGTGCTCCGGCGCGAGGCGGTAGTCCACGGAGAGCACGAGCGCCGGGAGCTCGGTGGCGAGCCGGAGCGCGCCCGCGTGGAAGCTGGTCACCTCGAAGCTGAAGAGGCAGAAGCCGCCGCCGTGGAAGTAGACGAGCACCGGCAGCTTCTTCTTCTTCCCGACTCCGGCGTTGGTGGGCCGGTACATGCGGAGCCGGAGGCCGTGCGTGTCGTCGTAGACCACGTCCTTCCACCGCACGGGCAGGTCCGAGTCCGACGGAACACGGCCAGTGGGACGGAGCATGGAGTAGTCCGTGGAGCGCCTCACCGTGCCGTCGCTGAGCAGCTGCACGAAGCCGAGGCAGTCCTCGACGACGTGTGGCGCCGCTGCCGTGCCCGGCGCCGGCGTGGGCGACGACATAGCCGGTTGGCTCCTGAACAGTGAACAGTGGAGGCAAGAATGTAAAGTGTGAAGGCTGCTGGATGCACTGGCATTTGTTTCGCTTACTATATAGGACTGGACTGGACTGCTGGACCCACGGGTCAGCCACACCAGGCTAGTTAGAGAGCCGTGCGGCAAACCGTTTGTGGACTTCCCTTCCATTCCAATTTCCATTTCACTTTAGTTTTCTTTAGTCATAAATCAAATTTGTGAAAAATAAACTAATAATTATTAAAAAATAATTCAATTATTAAATTCACTATGAAATGTGTTTTCATGGTGCATGTATTCGAAATGAACTTATAAATGCTGATATGATCTCCTAAAATAAAATTTAAATAAATCAAATAAAATTAGAAAGGTTTGATTTAGAACGAACTTATAGCTTACCAGCTGAACGCAAGGAGTAGTCTGTGCTACAAGGATAAGAGCATCTCCAAGAGTCTCTTTAAATTTCACTTTCTAAATCATTATTTGGAGACTTTCTATATTTTTTTACTCTCCAACAGCTTTTCAATATCTCGTGCATAGTCTAAATAGTCATTCTCGTCTTCTATTTTTTGCTAGCGAAAAATTCAGAATAGAAGATGACTATAATTAAATAACCATTTATAGAATCTATTGGATGATAGTTTTCAAAAATATCTCTATTACTAGCATTTAAAAATAAAATAGAGTCTCTCGGAGATGTTTAACACGTCACTGTCTCCTCCGAGTGACAAAAGATCGTAGGTCACTATGAGTAGCGATGCATAGGGATGTCTCCCATCACGCGTGTTGAAATTCGTTCCATCCCAAAATAAATTAATTTAAAACCACTCTAAGTTAGACTATCTTTTATAGAAAATAGTAGCAGTAGCGTTGCCGCAAATAAGTACATTAAAAATATATTTTCTAAGATATATAGTGATACTAATTTAATGTCATAGATATTGATGTTCTTTTTCATAGATTTAGCTATAATTAAAATAGTTTGATTTAGAGTAATAATTTTATAAGTTAATTTAATTTATTAGGATAGAGGAAGTAGTAAAGTGATTACGCAGACGTTACATCAAGCAAACATTGCTAGCTAGGCAGCTGCGAAGATAAGCTCAAAGCGAGTAGTGGCCACTGTTGGTCAATGAGTCCCCTCATCCAAGTCTCACTACTGTTTGATTTTTCCAGAGTGACTGAGTGAGTGAGGACGACTAAAATTATTTTAAAAACATTCTAAAACATATGACCTATTAGAAAAGGAATTTTCAAATCTAACATGTGTGTTCACCTGACCCTTATAGTTAAGCCTGGGCATTCGGTTCTCAGTTCGGTTTCGGTTTGGTTCCTTGATTTTGAAGAAATTCGGTTCTTAGAAAATAGGAATCGACCAGTCTAAAAAATTCTCGGAACCAATCATTTCGGTTTTCGGTTATTTCGGTTCGGTTCCGGTTCTAACCGAACTTTTTCATAAGACCTCAAGAAAACAATAATTATATGTATTGTAAGGCAAATTTATGCAACACTATGTTAATTTTTAATAATAATAATTTATAAGAAAACAATAGCAATATAGTACCATAAATATATAGCAGGTCAAATATAAAACACCACACATAAACCGAACATAATCTTACAAAATACATGTAATGGAAGTATAATTCATGTAATTCAGTTCTTTCGGTTAATTCGGTTACCCTAGAGTAGGAACTGAATTTTCTTCGGTTATTTCGGTTCCTCAATATCAGGAACCGAATAAGGAGCCGAATTTTTCGGTTCCGGTTCTTTCGGTTTTGGTTTCGGTTATTTTTGTTCGGTTTTTGTTTCTCGATTAAATTTGCCCAGGGCTACTGATAGTATAACAAAACAATGTTGTCGCATCTCATGTATTGGTATATGGCCTTGCCTTATTGACACGGTGCTCTCTTGCATGCTGCGCCAAATGGATGGCATAACAAATCAATGACTCTCACCTGTAGCGAAAGGGATTGTCATGGTAGGGCTTGCGCCAGCCCAACTCCATTGTGTTTTCTCTACCACTAAATAAGAGCATCTCCGAGAGTTTCCAAAACACACTCTCAATCTACATTTTTTAGCAAGAGTGAAAAAATGATATCCAACAACTCCCAATCTTTTGGCAATTGGGAAAATCAATCCAATAAAAATAGCCGCTGGTGGAGGCATTGCTAGGTACTAGTATATTACCCGTGCTAATGCTACAGTGATATCTAGAAAAAAATCATAAAACTAAAATGAATCATAAAACTAACAATGAACCAAACCTGCCACCACTAACAAAAAAAAAGTTCTTTGTTTTCTTTGAGAAGGCAAAAGAACCAACGACTCTCAGAAGGCCTTTGCCAATGCCAATACAGCTTCTTCTTTCGGCATCCCATAAACTCACTTGTGTACAAAATGTCACTCAAAAATTGAGAAACAAATGCTATGGCCGTGTTAACGCTAAGGCAACATTCGGGTAAATGCAAAGTAGAACTGAAATATCATTAACGAAAAAATCTTGACAATACTGCAAAATGTCATCGTTGACTTGAAATTTTGGAGACCAACAAATCAAAAGTGTACTAACAGATTGGGCTGAATGAACTCTATTCTTTTCATCTTGATGATACAATTCTTATTTTCACACAAGCAATATTGACGCTAGACACGCAGTTGGTTCATTAAATTGTGTTGAGGAGTTAATAAATCCAACCGGGGAACAATTAGAAGTATATGATAGAACGACCAAGCACATTGCAGTTATTAATAAAGATGGCAAAGGGGAATTCCCTGTCGGGTAATGTCTTCCCATCCCCGTCCCTGCGGGGGAATATTTTCCCCGTCCCCGTCCCCGCGAAAGGTCCTGGGGGACATTCTCTCCCCATGACCTGATTGGTAGGGGATTCGATGATTTAGATGTTTCTTTCATCAATTTCTTATGTGCTCCTATCTTAACCATATATTTTTTTCCTAAACACACTATATATCTTGGAGGCATAGATTAAGTTAATCCTGGTTGTATTCAACAATATAAGTTAGATTTTTTTGGATTAAATAATATAATAACCCTGTAAGTTTGTATCGCTCCTTTTTAGGTGGATCTTCAATCTATTTTATTATTTTATACCGTGTTTGGTTGTTACTTTGCATCATCTAAAATGCCACCATGGCATTAGCACGGGTAATATACTAGTTGATTCAGAATCGGTCCATGCAACACCACTCGCTTTATTTTAATGTACTTCCTCTAAATTATAAGTCATTTTGACTTTTCTAGATTCATAGATTTTACAATGCACCTAGATATACATTGTACCTAGATACATAGTAAAATCTATAAATTTAGAAAACTAAAACGGTTTACAATTTAGAATGGAAGAAAGTACTAAAGACCAACACGTTTATACAACTCTTGTACATGAACAGATATCATGTCCAGTACTAATTACTTTATAAAACTAATTATTTTGCAATGGCGATTTTATTACACATCCATCTAAAATATAAGACGTTTGATATTTAATTTTTACAATATATGTAAATATAGTGTATATTTATGGGAAATAGCAGAAGTTTATTTAGTAGTAGTGTCGGGGACCAATATTAGGGTACCCGAAGAGGACGAGCTAATAACCATCAACATTGATACATCCGAGCAGTCAAGAGCGCGACTACAGCTCCAATCGGCCCCCAGGTGCGCAAGCTCCGCCCCGCCCGACCTCTGAGGCCGCTAGGTCCGCCTCGCCAGACCCTTGGGTCTGTGCTCCGCCTCGCCCGACCCTTAGGTCTGCGCTCCGCCTCGCCCGACCTCTGAGGGCTGGTTTCGCCTTGCCTGGCCTCTGGGGGAGGACTCCGCCTCGGCCGACCCCGAGGCCGTGGGCTCTGCCTCGTCCGACACCTGGGTCTACGCTCCGCCTCGCCCGACCCTTGGGTCTACGCTCTGCCTCGCCCAGCCTCTGGGGGAGGACTCCGTCTCGCCTGACCCCGAGGTTGCGGGCTCCGCCTCACCAGACCCTTGGGTCTGCGCTCCGCTTCGTCCGACCTCTGGGGGCGGGCCCCCCCTCGCCCGACACTGAGGCTGTGGGCTCCGCCTCGCCCGACCTCTGAGGGCTGGTTCTACCTCACCCGACCCCGAGGCCGCGGGCTCTGCCTCACCCAACCCTTGGGTTTACGCTCTGCCTGGCCCGGCCTCTAGGGGGGGACTCCGCATCGACCGACCCTGAGACCGGGGGAACCGTGTCGCCCGACGGAGACCCATACCGCCGCCAACCACTCTAGGTCCAAGCAAATGGGCTCGGGTCAAATCTCTAACACCAGGGAGGTGACCGACACTCCCTGATATAACATGTGGCCGTGATGGGCCATACGTGGGGATTCTCATTAGGAACAGCGTCGGGCGTACCGGTGCTGTCCTGCCTAACCCTCGTATAGGCACTGACAGGCGCGTTAGTTCACCACAACGTCCGCCGGGACGGAGTGGAGCACCACGACTGGGAGACGATGCCTGCACATGGTGCCAGTGACGGACAGGACCACGACGTGGAGCTGTCCCTGTTGACGTCTACAGGGTCGGCGGAACCCGCGTGAAGGAAAAAAGGACCCGACGATCCTAGAGGACTTCTTCTCCTTCTCATTTTCTCTTTTCCCTCCACTGTAACCCGTGCTTTCCTTGGCCTATAAAAGGGAAAGCAGGGCGTCCTATAAGGGGGACCCGAATCGCAAGACATCACAACACATAGCATCGATTCGGACTGGAACCCATCGAACCCTGAACCAATCAGAACACACAAGCACACAGCCAGAAAGCGATCGAGCTCTCAGCACCCGTTCGCTCCTCTCCCCAGAGACTTGGGACCCGTCCCTCTCTCGACCGTTTGTAACACGAAGATCTCTTTCAGTGCTAGTAACACGAGCAGCAGCAACGAACTGGACGTAGGGACATTTTGTCTAAACTAGTATAAACCTTGTGTCTTCTTAGCACACCATCCGGGCCAGACGCACAA